AGACAAATAACATACCTCACACGGAACAAGATCCCACAACTAACAGGTGCCAAAAGGCTGCCTAAGTATGGTCCCCAATCAGAGACAACGAGCAACAGCTGCCTCTGATTGGGAACCACACAGGCCAACATAGATCTACACATTCTAGATCTTAAACATAGAACATCGACATAGCAAACACAACACAGAAAATACACACCCTGACTCAACAAATACAAGTCCTCAGAGTCAGGGCGTGACAGTACCCCCCCCCCCCCCCCCCCCCCAAAGGTGCGGACTCCGACCGCGCCACATAAACATAACAGGGTAGGAGCCGGGTGGGCATTCCGACTCGGAGGCGGATCCGGTTCCGGGCGTGACCACCACTTACTCTCCACCTCCCTGTTGCGCCCCTGGTCTGGTCTGGACCTCGGCGCGCTGCTTCCCCTCCTTCCTCCCACGACATACCAAGCCCTGTCTGGACCCTGGTGTGGGAGACCCCGAACCTGGAGAGGGGCTGACGTCTGGGTCTGGACTGGAACCGCTGACTGGAGCTGGACCCGACGACGGTGGATCGAACTGCTCTGGCTCCGGAGTGGAACCGCTGACCGGAGCTGGATCAGGCACCGGTGGAGCGGACTGCTCTGGCTCCGGAGTGGAGCGGCTGACCGGAGCTGGACTGGGCCCCGGTGGAGCGGATTGCTCTGGCTCCGGAGTGGATCCGCTGACCGGAGTTGGACCGGACCCCGGTGGAGCGGATTGCTCTGGCTCCGGAGTGGAGCAGCTGACCGGAACAGGCACGGGCCGTGCCGGACTGGACACACGCACCACTGGCTTGTTGCAGGGAGCAGGAACGGGCCGGACCGGGCTGACGACACGCACCACTGACTTGGTGCGAGGGACAGGAACAGGCCGGGCCGGGCTGGCGACGCGCATCACTGGCTTGGTGCGAGGGACAGGAACAGGCCGGGCCGGGCTGGCGACGCGCACCACTGGCTTGGTGCGAGGGGCAGGAACAGGCCGGGCCGGGCTGGACACACGCACCACTGGCTTGGTGCAGGGAGCAGGAACGGGCCGGACCGGGCTGATGACACGCACCACTGACTTGGTGCGGGGAGCAGGAACGGGCCGTACCGGACTGGCGACGCGCACCACTGGCCTGGTGCGGGGAGCAGGAACAGGCCGGGCCGGGCTGGCGACTCGCACCACTGGCTTGGTGCGAGGGGCAGGAACAGGCCGGGCCGGGCTGGCGACGCGCACCACTGGCTTGGTGGCGAGGGACAGGAACAGGCCGGGCCGGGCTGGCGACGCGCACCACTGGCTTGGTGCGAGGGGCAGGAACAGGCCGGGCCGGGCTGGCGACGCGCACCACTGGTTTGGTGCGAGAGACAGGAACAGGCCGGGCCGGGCTGGCGACGCGCACCACTGGCTTGGTGCGAGGGGCAGGAACAGGCCGGGCCGGGCTGGCTTCACAGTAGGTATGGTGTTCTTTGGATGCAACTCAGCATTCTTTGTCCTCCGAACACGACGAGTTGAGTTTATACCAAAAAGTTATATTTTGGTTTCATCTGACCATATGACATTCTCCCAATCCTCTTCTGTATCATCCAAATGCACTCTAGCAAACTTCAGAAGGGCCTGGACATGTACTGGCTTAAGCAGGGGGACACGTCTTGCACTGCAGGATTTGAGTCCCTGGCGGTGTACTGTGTTACTGATGGTAGGCTTTGTTACTTTGGTCCCAGCTCTCTGCAGGTCATTCACTAGGTCACCCCGTGTGGTTCTGGGATTTTTCCTCACCGTTCTTGTGATCATTTTGACCCCACGGGGGGAGATCTTGCGTGGAGCCCCAGATCGAGGGAGATTATCAGTGGTCTTGTATGTCTTCCATTTCCTAATAATTGCTCCCACAGTTGATTTTTTCAAACCAAGCTGCTTACCTATTGCAGATTCAGTCTTCCCAGCCTGGTGCAGGTCTACAATTGTGTTTCTAGTGTCCTTTGACAGCTCTTTGGTCTTGGCCATAGTGGAGTTTGGAGTGTGACTGTTTGAGGTTGTGGACAGGTGTCTTTTATACTGATAACAAGTTCAAACAGGTGCCATTAATACAGGTAACGAGTGGAGGACAGAGGAGCCTCTTAAAGAAGAAGTTACAGGTCTGTGAGAGCCAGAAATCTTGCTTGTTTGTAGGTGACCAAATACTTATTTTCCACCATAATTTGCAAATAAATTCATTAAAAATCCAACAATGTGATTTTCTGGATTTTTTTTCTCAATTTGTCTGTAATAGTTGACGTGTACCTATGATGAAAATTACAGGCCTCTCTCATCTTTTTAAGTGGGAGAACTTGCACAATTGGTGGCTGACTAAATACTCATTGTCATAGAGGCATAGGCTAAGATGCAATAGATAGTATAGAATACAGTACAGTGGGGAGAACAAGTATTTGATAGATTGCCGATTTTGCAGGTTTTCCTACTTACAAAGCATGTAGAGGTCTGTAATTTTTTATCATAGGTACACTTCAACTGTGAGAGACGGAATCTAAAACAAAAATACAGAAAATCACATTGTATGATTTTTAAGTAATGAATTTGCATTTTATTGCATGACATAATTATTTGATACATCAGAAAAGCAGAACTTAATATTTGGTACAGAAACTTTTGTTTGCAATTACAGACATCATACGTTTCCTGTAGGTCTTGACCAGGTTTGCACACACTGCAATAGGGATTTTGGCCCACTCCTCCATACAGACCTTCTCCAGATCCTTCAGGTTTTGGGGCTGTCGCTGGGCAATACAGACTTTCAGCTCCCTCCGAAGATTTTCTATTGGGTTCAGGTCTGGAGACTGGCTAGGCCACTCCAGGACCTTGAGATGCTTCTTACAGAGCCACTCCTTAGTTGGCCTGGCTGTGTGTTTCGGGTCGTTGTCATGCTGGAAGACCCAGCCACGACCCATCTTCAATGCTTACTGAGGGAAGGAGGTTGTTGGCCAAGATCTCGCGATACATGGCCCCATCCATCCTCCCCTCAATACGGTGCAGTCGTCCTGTCCCCTTTGCAGAAAAGCATCCCCAAAGAATGATGTTTCCACCTCCATGCTTCACGGTTGGGATGGTGTTCTTGGGGTTGTACTCATCCTTCTTCTTCCTCCAAACACGGCGAGTGGAGTTTAGACCAAAAAGCTCTGTTTTTGTCTCATCAGACCACATGACCTTCTCCCATTCCTCCTCTGGATCATCCATATGGTCATTGGCAAACTTCAGACGGGCCTGGACATGCGCTGGCTTGAGCAGGGGGACCTTGCGTGCGCTGCAGGATTTTAATCCATGACGGCGTAGTGTGTTACTAATGGTTTTCTTTGAGACTGTGGTCCCAGCTCTCTTCAGGTCATTGACCAGGTCCTGCCTTGTAGTTCTGGGCTGATCCCTCACCTTCCTCATGATCATTGATGCCCCACGAGGTGAGATCTTGCATGGAGCCCCAGACCGAGGGTGATTGACCGTCATCTTGAACTTCTTCCATTTTCTAATAATTGCGCCAACAGTTGTTGCCTTCTCACCAAGCTGCTTGCCTATTGTCCTGTAGCCCATCCCAGCCTTGTGCAGGTCTACAATTTTATCCCTGATGTCCTTACACAGCTCTTTGGTGTTGGCCATTGTGGAGAGGTTGGAGTCTGTTTGATTGAGTGTGTGGACAGGTGTCTTTTATACAGGTAACGAGTTCAAACAGGTGCAGTTAATACAGGTAATGAGTGGAGAACAGGAGGGCTTCTTAAAGAAAAACTAACAGGTCTGTGAGAGCCGGAATTCTTACTTGTTGGTAGGTGATCAAATACTTATGTCATGCAATAAAATGCAAATGAATTACTTAAAAATCATACAATGTGTTTTTCTGGATTTTTGTTTTAGATTCCGTCTCTCACAGTTGAAGTGTACCTATGATAAAAATTACAGACCTCTACATGCTTTGTAAGTAGGGAAACCTGCAAAATCGGCAGTGTATCAAATAATTGTTCTCCACACTGTATATACATATGAGATGGGTAATGCAAGATATGTAAATGTTATTAAAGTGGCATTATGAAAGTGACTAGTGTTCCATTTATTTAAGTGGCCAGTGATTTTCAAGTCTATATGTAGGCAGCAGCCTTTCTGTGCTAGTGATGGCTGTTTAACAGTCTGATGACCTTGAGATAGAAGCTGTTTTTCAGTTTCTTGGTCCCAGCTTTGATGCACCTGTATTGACCTCGCCTTCTGGATGATAGCGGGATGAACAAGCAGTGGCTTGGGTGGTAGTTGTCCTTGATTATCTTTTTGGCCTTCCTGTGACATCGTGTGCTGTAGTTTCTATGTGAGAATTGACAGAACAATTTGAGATAGCAAAAATATTTTCGGGCTATCCCACATTAAATAATACTACAGTTTACTATAGAATACTACAGTACTTGCTATATAATTATAGTAAATTGTAGTATACTGTAGAATACTATATACTACACACATGCGCGGCAGGTAGCTTAGTGGTTAAGAGCGTTGTGCCAGTAACCGAAAGGTCGCTGGTTCTAATCCCTGAGCCGACTAGGTGAACATTTTTTGTCTGTGCCCATGAGCAAGGCACTTAACCCTAATTGCTCCTGTAAGTCGCTCTGGATAAGAGCGTCTGCTAAATGATTTAAATGTAGCTCTGTTTGGACAAATGTGGAAGAAGCCCATCTGTTAGCTCTTATGGCAGGTAAGTTTACATTTCTTTCTTCATTGTAATATGTTTTTGGAAGCTAGCTTGATTCTATATGGTGCTATAGCTAGCTAGCTAGCTAGCTAGCATGATCTTTAGAACAGGAATAATTTATTTGCTAAGACCTAGTAACTGACCTAAATCCCATGATTTATTGATCACCCAGTTAGATCTGGAGTTTTAGTAGAAGCACGCCTGAAGGTAGAAAATAATTTGTTTAGCTTTGACGTTGGCTGCAAATCTGTACTGCCCTTTAATTAATATAAACCATTTACAGGCTGCAATACACTCCCAGTTAGACAGGGTCTTTTCAGGCCTCTGTCAGCTCCACAATGCCCTGGGGGACGTGAAGGACATCCAGAACTCCTTGGCAGAATTTAGCAATGACTTGAGGCAAAGCATCAACACCATTGAGAGCCTGAAGGATGTAAAATATGCTGGGGATGCAACAGAGTCAGCTTGCTTCATCCGTGGCGAACCTGAATAATATTTTTTCAGGTATGTTCAGCTGCACCATTACATGCCACTTGATTGGGAACTATTATTGTTGGCTTGCATTGCATTTGATGTGACACTGTACTGTTACAATGTATTTGTTTATTAATATTTATCCTGTCCCCTGTGCAGTGTTTGAGGTGGCAGACACTCCGTTAATGATAGAGCAAGCCGAGCTGCTGGAGGATCACCACAAGCTGATGAACCTGGAGTGCTCATCGAATGACCTCATGTACGATCACTACCACATGGGCAGCAAGAACACGCACAACATGAACCTCATTCGAAACTACTTTGTCAAGGTGCAGGGCCTGTCGGAAGACCAGGCCAAGCAACTGTGGATAGTGCTGCAGCATGCCATGGGCAAGGCTGAAGGCCACAGTGAGCAGTGAGGCTGGTGCATTGCTTCCCAACACATTACAACACCTTGACAGGTTCTCCCAGCTCTACCACATCACTGTGTTCATGAGGGTGCAAGAACTGGCTGCAGAGGGCCTGATGACCAACAAGGTTGTGTCCCTCCTCACCTGGGTCCTCAATTAGTACTTACAAAAGGAAGTCTGTACTGCCCTCTGTGACTCATGTAGCCACAGTGATATCTGGACACCAATCATACCTTTCTATCATCTTAGGTTGTAAACTAACTATGTTCGCATCCACATTAATGTAGAAGTGTTTAGAAACATATTCTATTGTTATTTACAATAAAAGTGACTCCAAAATGACACAATACATTATTTACCATTAATTTCTATTGGGTACAAAATAATCTGAAACACAACCAAAACAAACAGAAAATGCATCCAACACATTTGTAGAGTCACAAGCTTGATGTAGTCATTGCGTGCTATGAATATGGGACCAAATACGTAACTTTTTACTACTTTAATACACATAAGTAAATTTGTCCCAATACATTTGGTCCCCTAAAATGGGGGGACTATGTAAAAAAAAGTGCTGTAATTTCTAAACGGTTCACTCAATATGGATGGAAATACCCTCAAATTAAAGCTGACAGTCTGCACGTTAACCTCATCGACATTGTATTATTTCAAATCAAAAGTGCTGGAATACAACAAAACATGTGTCACTGTCCCAATACTTTTGGAGCACACCGTAAGTGTTTTTTTCCCCCAAGGAGATCTTCATCAGAAAATACACACGTCTTGATCTAACTATTCAGTCAGTTTCAGCCAATAGCTTATGATTTCTGATGTAAGTAAGCCACCTTTTCACTGCTATTTCCACTGATACTGTTATTGATGTGTATTGTAATGAATACTGCTGTTATAGTTTGTCTGTCCTATCTCTGTTCTCCTCCAGGCTGAGGGGACTGACCGGCTGTGTGACTCCATCGTTGCCATAGCTGAGGTGTTCAAATTCAAATGCAGACACATTAAATGCAGTGAAGGTAAGTTGTAAAACTATTTCAATGGAACATCTATTTAACATAGAAATCACCACCTTGGTGCTGATGTTGGTTGCAATTACCCAACATAGTGTACATTGTATAGACCACATGAATGTTAACAATAGTGTATGTTTGCACAAACATAATGTTTTTGTAATCACTAATGTAGGATTTTAGTAGTAGAACTATATGTTTAATGTGTAATTAGACAAAGTACTTTATGATGCCTGAAATATGAGTAATCTGTTATGAATTCCTTACTGTTATTGTGAAAAATATTTTATCCTAAATGACTGAATGGATGAATCTGTCATTCTTGTAGATCTTTTAGAACTACCAATTTATTGTTTATCACTGTAAATCTATATTTCTCTCAAGTCTGCATGTAACAAATGTAGGCAAATTCAAACTAACATGCCTCCAGTGTTTCTAGTTGCATTCCTCCTTCTCACCCTTGTATCCTGCATCCCTCCTGCCAAAGATCTCTCATGTAGTGTGACTTAGGCATTCAGATAGTGAAACGTTATTATTTTTCAGCTAGCCATCAGTTGATATTCAAATATGAATCAAATATTTCAAAATATGAGTACAATAAAGTTATTTCCAAAGGTTTATTGATGAAGTGGGCTGTATACAATGAGAATTGGGCCATTTTGACCCATTCGCCTAATCTGTTAGGTGAGCTGTCATTATAATTGTACTAATATCAGCACAAACAGGGTTCAGTGCAGTGAATGTATGTGTAAATTGATCAAATAAAGCAGTTTGGAGAGCCTGATACAGAATTGAACACTCACTTGTAGCTATTGACACCTGCTGTATACCATGAGAATTGGGCCATTTTGACCCATTCGCCTAAGATGTTAGGTGTGCTGCCATTATAATATACACTGAGTGTAACGGGGTGCGCCCCGTTCAAAGGCATTTCAAGATTTATTTTTCCCATTCACCCTCTGAATGGCAAACATACACAATCCATGTCTCAATTGTATCAAGGCTTAAAAATCCTTATTTAACCTGTCTCCTCCCCTTCATGTACACTGATTGAAGTGGATATAACAGATGACATCAATAAGGGATCATAGTTTTCACCTGAATTCACCTGGTCACTATGTCATGGAAAGAGCAGGTGTTCTTAATGTTTTGTACACTCAGTGTAGGTACAGTATCAGCTTAAAAGGGGTTCATTTACAATCTTTGAGTTTAACATGCAATCTCAACACTAACCCTAACCTGAATTCTGTGTAATTACTCAATTTCAAGCCATTTGTCAATGGGTTTTGTACCATAATGTTTGACCAGTGCACCTTCCTAACATCACTATGCTATCTGGACTATGGATGCAAGGACAGACAATTTTGAACGGGGCCTAAAATTAACACCCACCACCTGGCAAATGTGGGTAGATTTTGGCATTGGCGGGTAAAATGTCTATTTCACCAGCCATGTTGGCAGGTGGTCAGGGCTCCACAGTGAGAGCATTTCACTTGCATTTGTGAATAGAAATAGTCAAGTATGATCACATTTATAATAAAATAAATGCTGCAGTAGCTTTCAAAGTATTTCTGCCGTTTTGTTTCATAGCTGGTAAATTAATCGCACAAAGTCAAAGAACTACAAATCCTATATAGCCTATTCCACCTCATGCTACAACACTGCCTGGCAGGGGGATGTACGCACGTGAAGAGCTGAGTGAAAGATTAATTTTTATACTGATGGCCGGGGGACCAGGATTGATGTAGCCACAGGGAAAGAGTCTGCCTTGGACCTCACTCTGGTATCTAGTGCGATGGGTGAGCAGGTGATGGCTCGGGTGGATATGAGAGGGGATGTGGATAGTATGAATAACTGGGTGAGAACAACGTTAGTGGGGGCAGCTACTGAGGCTATACCTAAGAATTCAGGGAGGAGGAGGAGGAGGAACGTTATCCCATGGTGGACGGAGGAGTGTGGGGCAATGGTGAGGAGTAGGAACAGGGCATTTAGAGTACTGCGAAGGAAGCATAACTTCAAACATCTGATTCGGTATAAGCAGGCCCAGGTCCTGGTGAGGATAACTATTCGTCAGGCAAAGAGGTCATGTCGGCGTCTGTTCTGTGACACCATTGGAAGGGCAACACCTGTGGGAGAAGTGTGGGGAATGATTAAGAGGATGAGTGGGGTCAGAAGGGAGTTGGATTATCCAGTGTTGACGAGTGGGAAGGATGTGGCAGTAACAGATGTGGAGAATGCAGAGATGATGGCCAAAGCATTTGTCCAAGTGCATAGCTCTGCAAATTTGTCAGAGGAGGGGCAGAGGGGGAGAGAGAGAACGAGAGAGGAGCATCCTGGAGTGCTGGATAGGAGGGAGGATGTAAATGATGCGTTGAATATAGCATTTACCATGGCAGAGGTGAAAAGGGCAATAGGTAAAGCTGGGTTAACTTCACCTGAGAAAGATGAGGTGTGCTATGTGATGTTGGCCCATCTTAGTGATGAGGCACTGGATAAAGTATTGGTGTTGTACAACAGAGTGTGGGAGGAGAGGAGACTACCGGGCAGCTGGAAGGAGGTAGTAGTGGTACCAATCCGGAAGCCAGGGAAGGACCTAATGAGACCAACAAGCTATCGGCCAATAGCTTTAACATCACATGTATGTAAGATTATGGAACGTATGATTTCGGAGAGGCTAACTTACTTCCTGGAGAGCAGGGGGCTAGTATCGCCACATTAGAGTGGGTTAAGGAAGGATAGGGGAACTATGGACCCAGTGCTCTGCTTAGAACCAGAGGTCAGGAAGGCAGTTACTGTTGTAACTGTCTTTTTTGATGTGGAGAAGGCATATGATATGATGTGGAAGGAGAGGTTGTTAATCCAGCTTGATATTATGGGGGTAGGAGGAAGAACGTACAACTGGATAAAGGATTTCCTGTTTGGAAGGTCTATCCAGGTGAGGGTGGGGAAGTCTCTATCAGGCAGCTACCTGGTGGAAAACAGTACACCGCATGGGAGCGTGATTAGTCCTCTGTTGTTCTCAATCATGATCAATGATGTTTACTCTCAGGTACGGATGGATATTTGGAGGTCTTTATTTGCAGATGATGGGGCCTTATGGAAGAGGGGAAGAAATGTACCATACATAGTCAGGAAGGTACAGGAAGCAATTGATGAGGTAGAGCGGTGGGCATTAATGTGGGGATTCAGGTTCTCTGTAGAGAACACTCAGACAAAACTCTTTACCAGGAGGTAGGTGTGAGATGAGGTATGCTTGAGGTTATATGGGAGAAACTTGGAGAGGGTGGGGGCCTTCAGGTTCCTTGGGGTATACTTTGACACTAGACTGACCTGGGTAGAACACATTGAGAGAGTGGTGGGAAAGCGTAAGAAGGTGCTAAATGTGATACGCTGTCTGGTGGGGAAGAAGTGGGGGGCTGGGCGTTCCTCATTGAGGACCATGTATGTTGCATTGATCCGATCTGTAATAGACTTTGTAGTATAGCGTATGGTTTGGCAGCCCGGACCTCATTGGAAAGGCTAGATGTCATACAGGGGCAAGGACTTCGAATATGTAGTGGGGCGTTTCGGACGTCCCCAGTGGCTGCACTACAGGTGGAGATGAGGGATATGCCATTGCAGATTAGGAGATACTTGAAGTTGTATGGAAGGAATCTGGAGAGAGTGGGAGGGTTTAGGTTCCTGGGGGTCTGGTTTGACACTCAAATGACATGGGCGGAGCATATTAACAGAGTAATTGTCAAAGGAAATAAAATATTGAGTGTGATGCATTGCTTGTCAGGAATGGATTGGGGGCAGATTGAATGGCGTTGAAAATGATATATATAGTGCTGTTAAGGTCATCAATGGATTATGGATGTATAACATATGGATCAGCAGCTCAGACATCTTTAAAAAAAGCTAGATGTTATCCCGAGTGGCGCAGCAGTCTAAGCACTGCATCTCAGTGCTAGAGGCATCACTACAGACCCTGGTTTGATTCCAGGCTGTATCACAATCCAGCCATGATTGGGAGTCCCATAGGGTGGCGCACAATTGGCCCAGCGTCGTCCGGGTTTGACTGGGGTAGGCCGTCATTGTAAATAAGAATTTGTTCTTAACTGACTTGCCTAGTTAAATAAAGGTTAAATAAAAATAAATAAAAAATATCCAGGCCCAAGCCCTAAGAATATGTTGTGGAGCACTCAGGACCTCCCCAATGGCATCGATGCAGGTAGAGTTGGGAGAGATGCCGTTAAAGTTAAGAAGACAACAGCTAGCCATGACATATTGGGTAAATCTACAAGGACATAAGGTTACACATCCTACTAAAAAGGTGCTGCTAGAGTGCTGGGAACAAAAATCTGAATACAAGCTTTTGGTGGATAGAACATTGCATGGCGGGAGAGATGGGGTTGTTTGGGAGGGAGTTTAGCCCCTCTGTGGTTCTTCCTGCTATCCCACCTTGGGTTCTCCCTCAACCAGTATTAGATCTAGGGTTGCTTGAGAGGGTAAGAGATGTTGAGGAAGGAGTAGATTCAGTTGTAAGTGAACATTTAAGAACACAATACTATGCTTTCTTGAATATATTCACATATGGATCTAAGGACCCTAAAACAGGGAGGACAGGAGCAGCTTTTAGTGTTCCTGAGTTTAAGGTGGCAGTGACGAAAAGAGCAACAGATCATTTATCTGTTTACACAATGGAGTTGTTGGCCATACTATTGGCTGCAGAGTGGGTGGAGGAGGTGAGGCCAGACAGGGTAGTCATCTGCTCTGACTCCTGTGCAGCACTGATGAGCTTAAATTCATGTGTGTCTCAGAGCAGACAGGATGTATTGTATGAGGCTTTGCAGTGTTTGTATAGGGTGAAACAGATGGGGGTATTTGTGATGTTCCTCTGGGTACCAGCTCATGTGGGAGTAGAGGGGAATAAGGAAGTGGATATTATTGCCAAGCAGGCTCTTAAACATCCTAATGTTGAGATGGAATCGTCAATCAGTAAAGCAGAAGCCAAGGGATTAATAAGAACAGTTGTTGAAATAAGTGGCAAGAGTTGTGGAACAGGGAGAGTAAGGGAAGACACCTGCATAAGATCCAGGAAAAGGTGAGTGCAGGAAGGTCCTCAGGCAGACAGAGAAGGGAGGAAAGTGTAGTCACAAGGCTGAGACTGGGATACACAAGGCTAAATAGTACATTGAATGTGGTGGGGGAAACATCCGACTGGGATGTGTGATCATTGTCAGGAGGAGATGGAGACAGTGGAACATGTTCTATTTCAGTGCCAGCAATATGTGAGAGAAAGGAAGCGATTGTTATTAGATTTGAGGAGTAATAGGGTTGAAGAGCCAGAATTAAGTGAACTGCTGGGGAAATCTTCAGGGGTAGTATTTAATTATGTATTTCGTTTCCTTAGGGAGACGAGATTATTGGGTAGGATTTAGACCTTCACTGTCTCCGGTCCACACTCCAGTCCAGTTGGTGGCAGTAATGCACTTTAAAGTTGGTTGCCAACCGCCATATAAAACCCACAGAAGAAAAAAATAAGAAGAGTAAGAGGAATTCCACGTGTGTGTGCGCTCAGCTGCAATCATGGCAGATCTTCAGATGAGGCTTCTTCGGCAGAAAATCCAGAAAAGAAGCGAAAAGAACAAAGAGCGAAAGCTACTTCAGAAACGGAAACCGGAGGAAGATAATGGTAACTGTTTTTCGAGTATCATTGTCGACAAGTTGTATTGACACTCGCGCTAGCCAACCTCGAAGCAAGGCTAAGTAGCTAGCTATGTTAGTTTGCTTAACTATCTAGTATGTCTCTGGTGGATGTTTCTGCAGAGTTGATTGTCTATATCGGAAGTCACGCATTAAAGACAGTCTTTTAGTTCATACACGTAGTTAATTCGACGATTGTAACGAGTGAATGAACATGATCCCCATTTCGTTAGCTTGTGGTGTTTTTCTAGCTAACGTTAGCTACTACATTTACATTTTAGTCATTTAGCAGACGCTCTTATCCAGAGCGACTTAGTTAGTGAGTGCATACATTTTCATACTGGCCCCCCCTGTGGGAAATGAACCCACAACCCTGGCGTTGCAAGCGCCATGCTCTACCAACTGAGCTACAGGGGACCTACAACTGTTCAATTTTTTTAGCTAACGTTAGATATAAGTAAAACACCAAAATTCTACTGCAATGCTACGCTATTTAACTACTAATTCGGCAATTTCGAAACATTGTTATACAAGTGAGGTTTTGAGACATTGATCTCTTCCCGTTATTGATATCTGCCATATCTGAATGAAGAAGTTGCCAATCGGTTAGTTAGTCAGTTAGCTAACGTTTGCTAGCTAGCTACATGGCATTGGTTGTTAGATAGCCTGGTTGATGTGATTTTATATTCTGTGTAACGTTACTTTATTCACAGACGACGCAAACCGACTTCCGGAGGAGTGTTGTGATGAAAGGAGTCAGGTGGCCACTGCAATGTCAAAGCCACAGAATGCCAAACCCACTAATAAGCAGCAAAAAGAGAAGAATGTGTCTGCAGAGGTGGACACAGAAGAACATTTTGTCAAGAAGAAAAAGAAAAGGAAGCTCAACACCACTGAATTGCCAGGTAATGTTGTGTACTACTCAGTAATTTATTAGAATGGTTGTTGAACCATTCATGGGGTAAATGGCTAAAAGTGTCAGTTTCCCAAGTAGTGAATCTTGTCCATGTCAAATAATATTGACATGTTTCTAATGTAGGTGTGAAAAAATCCAAGGAGGAGGATATGGAGGAGGAGAGGGGGCTGAATGTGACAGATGAGGATGCTGATCAGACCACAGACCAACCCACACAGCCTCTTGAATGGGGGGAGGAGGATGAAGAGGGCGACGATGACAAGGGAAGTGAGGATGAGGTGGAAAAGGGGGCAAGAGAGAAGTTTGGGGATGAGGAAGATGGACCAGAGCTCCCATCTGGCTTGACAGGTATTCAATGTTCAATGATATAGACATAGGTCAATCAGAGGCCTTTACACTACCAAATGTTAGCCTTGTCAATTGTGCATGTTATGTGTAGCAATCATTTCTCAGTCTTAGATATGGGCCAGGAACTATTTACAATTGTGCCTCTGCCAGCATACAAATATGTATAATATTCTGTGTTTTCCTGGTAACCATGGTCCCTTACTCTAGGTCAGTCCTTCTCAAATAGTGGGGCGCGCCCCCCTGGTGGGGCTCGGAGCAATGCCAGGGGGGGCGCGTGTGACCCCGTGGAACGTGCTTTTTTTCCCCCAGGTAGTATGGTTTTTTTGCACCGAACAAGAGCACACAGCACAGAGCAGGAGATATGAAGTGCAGATAACAAACCCTTAAGAGACACCATGGAAAAATATTTAACAGGGATGAAAAGAAAGGCGGAGAGAGACTGAGATAATGAGACAAACGTAAGTCTCCCGAAAGCTAAGACGAGGAAATATGACGAAGCGTATGTAGCGCTTGGCTTCACTGTGACTACGGTGGGAGACGAGGAAAGACCGGTATGTTTACTGTGTCTAAAAATGTTGGCAGCGGACAGCATGAAGCCAAATAAATTAAGGCGTCACTTAAAGACATTACACCCCAATCACGCTGATAAGCCGCTTGAGTTTTTTCAGCGAAAACGTGCCGAATATTGCCAACAATCGTCCCGCTTTGTGAATGCTACTTCAGTAAACCAGCGAGCACTGTTAGCATCATATAAGGTGGCGTACCAAATTGCTCAGTGCAAAAAACCCCACTCCATAGCAGAGGAGCTGATACTGCCTGCAGCATTAGACATGGTCTCTGTCATGCTGGATGACGCAAGTGCTGCAAAAATAAAAACTATCCCTCTGTCCAATGACACTGTCGCCAGACGTATAAATGACATTGCTAACGATCTTAAAGAACAGCTGGTAGATAAACTCAAAGACAAACGTTTTGCCTTACAGTTCGATGAAGCAACTGACAGCAACAAAGACTGTTTGTTTATCGCTTATGTACGTTTTGACATGACAAACTCCCTGTGTGAGGATCTACTTTTTTGTAAATATGTCAGAGACAGAGCCACAGCTGAAGAGCTATTCAAAATGCTGGACTGCTTCCTGACTGAGAATGGGCTAAAGTGGGAGAACTGCATTGGTGTTTGCAGTGATGGTGCACAGACCATGGCAGGGATGAGAAAAGGACTTCGGGCACTCATCAAGAAGGCCTCACCTAATGCTGAGTGGACACACTGTGTTATACACAGAGAAGCACTGGCTTCAAGGCACCTTTCCTCTGAATTAAGTGAGGTTATGACTGACATTGTAGGTGTAGTCAATTTTATAAAGACCAGACCACTAAAAATAAGAGTCTTCTCTGCTATCTGTGAGGAGATGGGAGCTGAACATCAAGCTGTGCTGTTTCACAGTGAAGCAAGGTGGCTGTCACGAGGAAAAGTCTTGTCCCGAGTTTTTGAGCTCAGAGAGCAGATAAGAATGTTTTCGGAGCAGGAGCACAAGTATGACCTCGCAGAAAAATTTAGTGATGAGAACTTCCTGGCAAAACTGGCCTACCTGAGTGACATATTTGGAAAGCTAAATGAACTAAATCTACAGCTTCAAGGGAAAGATAAACACCTCCCTCAGGTCACAGACAAGGTCAGCTCTTTCACTCGAAAGCTTGCAATGTGGGGCAGGCGACTTGATGAAGGACATACTGATTCATTCGAGAACCTGCATGAATTTGTTGACACTACTGACTATGATGCCACCTCAGTGATTCCATATATTAAGGAGCATATTTAATCACTGATGGGATTCTTTAAAAAGTACTTCCCTGAAAACAGTTCCCAATATGACTGGGTGAGAGATCCTTTCAATGCACCAGCTCCAACTGGTTTCAGCTCTGCAGAGGAGGACCAGTTCATTGATATGACGTCTGACTCCACATTGAGACTGAGGTTCACATCACAGACACTGAGTGAATTCTGGCTGAGTGTAGAGAGGCAGTATCCACTCTTAGGGCAGAGGGCCATGGGCATTCTTCTTCCTTTTGCAACATCTTATCTTTGTGAGACTGGCTTCTCTGCTGTTGCTGCACTGAAGACCAAGTACAGGTCCCAGCTAAACATTGAGCAGGAGCTGAGAGTTGCAGTATCATGCTTCAAACCCTGTTTCGAAAAGCTGTGCACTGCAAAACGTGCTCATTGTAGCCATTAATCCTGACTTCCTCATTTTGATTTTTAAAAAATCAGCACAAATTGTTTTATTCATTTTTGTTTTATAGGTCAAAGTGTTTCATATATTGTGCTCCTGAGTTAATGTTGCTGATCAATTTGAATTTATTATTATTTATTGATTATATTTTATTTTTCAGTATCAAATGGTCAAAAAATGTTTACAGTTTAAATAAGGATTGAATTATTTTCTTAATTTCAGGCAAATTGATGCACTTTAAGTATTTTCTGTTACAGACTAAAAAACAATGTTAATAAAGTTATTATTTTTTGTAAGTTGATCTGTATTTAATGTTAATAAGGATACAATGTTATGCAGAGTTGTACTTATAACAATTTTATAGACAAATGATACTATTTACAGTCGCAGCGGAGAGTTGGGGGGCGCGAAATGTTTACTTCTTCCTAGGGGGGGCGTAACAGAAAATAATTGAGAAGCACTGCTCTAGGTAATCCCGAGGCAGTCTACTTGTGTTGTGTGTTAGTAGGGATGGGCATTTAAAATGAGAATAATATCAATTTTATTGAGATATCCGCAGTCTGAGAAAGTTGTGTGTGTGTATATAGTTGTGTGTGTGCATCACCATACACAAAAAAAAAAAAATTATGCACGCATGACTGTAAGTCGCTTTGGATAAAAGCGTCTGCTAAATGGCATATTTTATATATATATATATATATATATATATATATATATATATACTGCTCAAAAAAATTAAGGGAACACTTAACAACACAATGTAACTCCAGGTCAATCACGCTTCTGTGAAATCAAACTGTCCACTTAGGAAGCAACACTGATTGACAATAAATTTCACATGCTGTTGTGCAAATGGAATAGACAACAGGTGGAAATTATAGGCAATTAGCAAGACACCCCCAATAAAGGACTGGTTTTGCAAGTGGTGACCACAGACCACTTCTCAGTTCCTATGCTTCCTGGCTGATGTTTTGGTCACTTTTGAATGCTGGCGGTGCTTTCACTCTAGTGGTAGCATGAGACGGAGTCTACAACCCACACAAGTGGCTCAGGTAGTGCAGCTCATCCAGGATGGCACATCAATGCGAGCTGTGGCAAGAAGGTTTGCTGTGTCTGTCAGCGTAGTGTCCAGAGCATGGAGGCGCTACCAGGAGACAGGCCAGTACATCAGGAGACGTGGAGGAGGCCGTAGGAGGGCAACAACCCAGCAGCAGGACTGCTACCGCCGCCAGCAGGCCACAAATGTGCATGTGTCTGCTCAAACGGTCAGAAACAGACTCCATGAGGGTGGTATGAGGGCCCGACGTCCACAGGTGGGGGATGTGCTTACAGCCCAACACCGTGCAGGACGTTTGGCATTTGCCAGAGAACCCCAAGATTGGCAAATTCGCCACTGGCGCCCTGTGCTCTTCACAGATGAAAGCAGGTTCACACTGAGCACATGTGACAGACGTGACAGAGTCTGGAGACATCATGGAGAACGTTCTGCTGCCTGCAACATCCTCCAGCATGACCGGTTTGGCGGTGGGTCAGTCATGGTGTGAGGTGGCATTTATTTGAGGGGCCGCACAGCCCTGACTGCCATTAGGTACCGAGATGAGATCCTCAGACCCCTTGTGAGACCATATGCTGGTGCGGTTGGCCCTGGGTTCCTCCTAATGCAAGACAATGCTAGACCTCATGTGGCTGGAGTGTGTCAGCAGTTCCTGCAAGAGGAAGGCATTGAGTCCCCCTCAGGAGACTGAAAAGATTTGGCATGGGTCCTCAGATCCTCAAAAAATTCTACAGCTGCACCATCGAGAGCATCCTGACTGGTTGCATCACCGCCTGGTATGGCAACTGCTTGGCCTCCGACCGCAAGGCACTACAGAGGGTAGTGCGTACGGCCCAGTACATCACTGGGGCCAAGCTTCCTGCCATCCAGGACCTCTATACCAGGCGGTGTCAGAGGAAAGCCCTCAAAATTGTCAAAGACTCCAGCCACCCTAGTCATAGACTGTTCTCTCTGCTACCGCAGGGCAAGCGGTACCGGAGTGCCAAGTCTAGGTCCTAAAGACTTCTCAACAGCTTCTACCCCCAAGCCATAAGACTCCTGAACAGCTAATCATGGCTACCCAGACTATTTGCACTGCCCCCCCACCCCATCCTTTTACGCTGCTGCTACTCTGTTAATTATTTATGCATAGTCACTTTAACTCTGCCCACATGTACATATTACTTCAACTACCTCAACTAGCCGGTGCCCCCGCACATTGACTCTGCACCGGCACCCCCCTGTATATATAGCCTCCCTACTGTTACTTTATTTTACTTTGCTCTTTTTTTCTCAACACTTTTTTTGTTGTTTAATTTGTACTTTTTTGTTAAAAATAAATGCACTGTTGGTTAAGGGCTGTAAGTAAGCATTTCACTGTAATGTCTGCACCTGTTGTATTCGGCGCATGCGGCCAATAAAATTTGATTTGATTTGATACATTTGATTTCTATTGATAATTTTTGTGTGATTTTGTTGTCAGCACATTCAACTATGTAAAGAAAAAAGTATTTAATAAGATTATTTCATTCATTCAGATCTAGGATGTTATTTTAGTGTTCCCTTTATTTATTTGAGCAGTGTATGTATGTATGTGTGTGTGTGTGTATGTATGTATATGTGTGTGTGTGTGTGTGTGTGTGTGTGTGTATATATATATATATATATATATATATATATATATATATATATATATATATATACACATATACACACACAGTGGGGAAAAAAAGTATTTAGTCAGCCATCAATTGTGCAAGTTCTCCCACTTAAAAAGATGAGAGAGGCCTGTAATTTTCATCATAGGTACACGTCAACTATGACAGACAAAATGAGGAAAAAAAATCAAGAAAATCACATTGTAGGATTTTTAATGAATTTATTTGCAAATTATGGTGGAAAATAAGTATTTGGTCAATAACAAAAGTTTCTCAATACTTTGTTATATACCCTTTGTTGGCAATGACACATGTCAAACGTTTTCTGTAAGTCTTCACAAGGTTTTCACACACTGTTGCTGGTATTTTGGCCCATTCCTCCATGCAGATCTCCTCTAGACCAGTGATGTTTTGGGGCTGTCGCTGGGCAACACGGACTTTCAACTCCCTCAAAGATTTTCTATGGGGTTGAGACCTGGAGACTGGCTAGGCCACTCCAGGACCTTGAAATGCTTCTTACGAAGCCACTCCTTCGTTGCCCGGGTGGTGTGTTTGGGATCATTGTCGTGCTGAAAGACCCAGCCACGTTTCATCTTCAATGCCCTTGCTGTTGGAAGGAGGTTTTCACTCAAAATCTCACGATACATGGCCCCATTCATTCTTTCCTTTACACGGATCAGTCGTCCTGGTCCCTTTGCAGAAAAACAGCCCCAAAGCATGATGTTTCCACCCCCATGCTTCACAGTAGGTATGGTGTTCTTTGGATGCAACACAGCATTCTTTGTCCTCCAAACACAACGAGTTGAGTTTTTACCAAAAAGTTATATTTTGGTTTCATCTGACCATATGACATTCTCCCAATCCTCTTCTGGATCATCCAAATGCACTCTAGCAAACTTCAGACGGGCCTGGACATGTACTGGCTTAAGCAGGGGGACACGTCTGGCATTGCAGGATTTGAGTCCCTGGCGGCGTAGTGTGTTACTGATGGTAGGCTTTGTTACTTTGGTCCCAGCTCTCTGCAGGTCATTCACTAGGTCCCCCCGTGTGGTTCTGGGATTTTTGCTCACCGTTCTTGTGATCATTTTGACCCCACGGGGTGAGATCTTGCATGGAGCCCCAGATCGAGGGAGATTATCAGTGGTCTTGTATGTCTTCCATTTCCTAATAATTGCTCCCACAGTTGATTTCTTCAAACCAAGCTGCTTACCTATTGCAGATTCAGTCTTCCCAGCCTGGTACAGGTCTACAATTTTGTTTCTGGTGTCCTTTGACAGCTCTTTGGTCTTGGCCATAGTGGAGTTTGGAGGGTGACTGTTTGGGGTTGTGGACAAGTGTCTTTTATACTGATAACAAGTTCAAACAGGTGCCATTAATACAGGTAACGAGTGGAGGACAGAGGAGCCTCTTAAAGAAGAAGTTACAGGTCTGTGAGAGCCAGAAATCTTGCTTGTTTGTAGGTGACCAAATACTTATTTTCCACCATAATTTGCAAATAAATTCATAAAAAATCCTACAATGTGATTTTCTGGAGAAAAAAAATCTCAATTTGTCTGTCATAGTTGACGTGTACCTATGATGAAAATTACAGGCCTCTCTCATCTTTTTAAGTGGGAGAACTTGCACAATTGGTGGCTGACTAAATACTTTTTTCCCCCACTGTGTATGTGTATGTGTGTATATATATATATATATATTTTACTTTAAGAAAGTTGGGCAGGGGCCAGCGGTGTGTGAGACACCAGAGGGAGAGAGAAAAAGTAGCCACTGACTCGCGCTAGTTAGACATACATGTTAATGCCATAGGTTATCTGTTATCCCATCTGGCAGTGCCTGTCTTTACTGCATCAAATCGATGTAAAGTAGCTAGCTAAGATAGTCAGATGTTAACTAGGCTAGTTGAGGCTATTTTACTGCTCTCCCCCTTCCTTGTCTACAACATTCCATTCAGATTAAACAACAGCCTACCTGTCGGTTGCTCATTGTAGCCTACTCATTTATCTAACTTTATTCTGTAATTTCACTTCCATTTTTGCATTGATTAGTGATCTCCCACTTCACGTTGCTGCACATGGTGCCTCTGACTGTAGTGCAAACAACAAGCTACACGCGTGAAACTTGTGTAGGCTATACAGTAGCCTATGTCTTTGTATTGGGTGCACGTCATGAAAACAACTCAAAAGTTTGTTTTATTAAATTAAGCATTTCAAATGTCATGGTATAGCCGTATCTGTAGCAATGTCACATGGATAATTTTATTTAATTGAGACAAAGCCTTTTCATTTTAAAAATAGGCCTATGATTTTTATTTATTTTTATGAATACTCTCGCAACTAGGCCTATTCAAATACCAACGTCAGTTTGGATGTTAGAATAACCGTGCCCATCCCTATGTGTTAGTGCTAGACTAGAGCCCTTCCATGCTAAACCCACGAAGGTGGGAACTCTGAACTGTGGTTTCTGTATCTCAGGTGCGTTTGAGGACACGTCGTTTGCCTCTCTAGCCTCTTTGGTGAGTGAGAACACTCTAAAGGGTGTGAAGGAGATGGGCTTTGAGCACATGACTGAGATCCAACACAAAAGCATACGGCCCCTACTGGAGGGAAGGTACGCCTACAGTTTATCGCTAAGTTTCATGTTAGGCAGAATCGCCACCTGTTCATGTATCCCTGCAACTCTACCAGGCTGACTAAAGCAGAGCTCTGTAAAATCCATCCAGGACCACCAAAAGTTGGTGACTTGCATCCTAGAATCAGCCCTACAGGACTGATAAAGAACTAATATTGTTTTGGCTTGATCGATGACTCCCTTATTTTATCTTTTGAATCTTCTAGAGATGTCCTGGCTGCTGCTAAGACTGGCAGTGGTAAAACCCTGGCCTTCCTCATCCCCTCCATCGAGCTCATCTACAAACTCAAGTTCATGCCTAGAAACGGTAAGATTAGTAGAAGATTGAACCAATGTAGATGGTTGAAGCAATGTTATAAATATTCTGCACCATAACGCTACAAGCTTCACGTGCATATATCTATATGCGGGCTTGGGTGGAGTCAGATTTATGGAGCAGCGGACACATTTTGGTAACGTGATACCTTGCCGGTCCATGCATTTCTAGACTCCCAAATAACAAAGATCACAAGGGGTGATGGCAGAGATTTTTCTGTTGATAACATCATCACAACTGTAAGCTAATTTGAAAGAACCAACTGCATATTTAAATAATAGCTAGGCCTACATGTAATGAAAGTTAAGGTTTGATTTACATTACCATATTTTGTGCCTGCCAGTAAGCTGTAGGTTACTCCGCTAGCAGCTTGCTAGGTAGCTGGCTAAAAAGAGCAAGCAAGCTAGCCTTTTAGCATCCCACATGTCGCTCATGTGAAATAATTTGCCCTGGCAGATATTTTTTTAGCCTACTCGCCAGTCTAACTTACAACATTATCCCAATTTAATATGCTGCTTCAATGTATTTGCTCCCATATCAGCTAAAAATAGAGAAGGCACATGGCTACCAGCTGTTTTTACTGTGTAGCAGTAGTTATTACTTCACAACAAAATACCTTTGGGGGGGGGGGGGATTCTAATAAGGCTACAATGTAGGGTTAATTGTTTGAACAGTTGCTGAGATTATATTTGGTTATCAATGCTACTTTGATGCATAGCCTGTAGATCAGATCAAGGAACCAAGAGACAACACTGCCCCCACGGCTCCACAAGGAATGATAAGGCGCATTTCATTTTCAGGTAGCACAAAAGTATGTTGAATGTCGGCACATATTACAAGGAGCCACCCTTTTTGTGACTAAAAACTACATTTCAACACTGCGCTACGCTCCGTATCTACTGTCTCTTTAGAGTGTGTAGACCCATTTAGGTGTTCACGAATATATGAAAGGACTGGGTAGGAGTAAGCAATATGGCAATGTTTTGACTTAACTCTCCAGTAGACTAGGCACAATTTCCCTCATTACCTTTCACCCATCCAGTCTTACTAGCTCTGCTAACATCAAAGGTGTAGGGTCTAGACCGGGGGGTGGGGGTGGGGGTGGGGGTGGGGGGCAAAGTACGGCACGATGGAAACTTTAATAAAAAAAAAAATACATTAAACAAATGTATTAAATATAATTTTTTGGCTTAAAATTACTAATTCCGTGATATACAAACAACCTCCAATAGATGCCGCAGTAGCCTGGCAGCACGCTCTGTATTTGGGCCTACAGTCAGATTCAGAATGTCCTCAGTCATCATAGCCACGTCATTGCTTGAACACTTTTCACGTGAAAAATGAGTGCTGTGAAAATGAGAAGTGGACTCTGAATGTCGTGTGTTTTTAAAAGAATGGACAGCAATATACTTTTTTACTAATATTTGACATAAGGCGGTATGTATGATATGCAAAGAAAGTGTTACTGGATAAGAGCGTCTGCTAAATGATGTAAATGTAAATGTGTTAGTTTTTAAGGAATATAATCTAAATCGCCATTTTTCAAGCAAGCATGCTACCTACGCTAGCAATCTGTCCTCTCAGGAAAAGGCAAGGAAGGCCTCAACTTGCCACAAACTTAAAAGGCCAACAAAATATGTTTACTAAATGGTGCTCTACTCAAGACTCTGTAACGAAGGCAAGCTACGTAGTGGTGCATAAAATTGCAAAGCATAGCAAGCCTTTTGCTGAAGGGGAGTTTGTAAAAGAGTGTGTTACATTTTACATTTTAGTCATTTAGCAGACGCTCTTATCCAGAGCGACTTACAGTTAGTGAATATATATATATATATATATATATATATATATATATATATATATTATTTTTTTTTATACTGGCCCCCCGTGGGAATCGAACCCACAACCCTAGCGTTGCAAACGCCATGCTCTATCAACTGAGCTACATCCCTGCCGGCCATCCCTGCCGGCACTGAACGCGCCCACATCGCAGTGCCGCACTGAGACATACAGTAGCACTTTGATCGACCTGCATGCAGAGTTTTCCCGCCGCTTCTCAGACTTCACCAAGACTGAGCTGGAGTTTGTGTCATGCCCCCTGTCTTTCGACAGTGAGAAAGCACATCCAGACACACAATTGGAGCTAATCGACATCCAATGTGACAGTGCTTTGATGGAGAAGTACAAAACAGCAACAATAGACCAGGTCTATGGCTCACTGAATGAAAAAAGTGCCCAAAGGATGCTTGTTTTATTCGGGTCCACATACAGTTGAAGTTTACATACACCTTAGCCAAATACGTTTAAACTCAGTTTTGCACAATTCCTGACATTTAATCCTAGTAAAAATTCCCTGTCTTAGGTCAGTTAGGATCAACACTTTTATTTTAAGAATGTGAAATGTCAGAATAATAGAGTGATTTATTTAAGCTTTTATTTATTTCATCACATTCCCAGTGGGTTAGAAGTTTACATACACTCAATTAGTATTTGGTAGCATTGCCTTTAAATTGTTTAACTTGGGTCAAATGTTTTGGGTAGCCTTCCACAAGCATCATTGTCCATTTGGAAGACCCATTTGCGACCAAGCTTTAACTTCCTGACTGATGTCTTGAGATGTTGCTTCAATATATCTACATAATTTTCCTTCCTCATGATGCCATCTATTTTGTGAAGTGCACCAGTCCCTCCTGCAGCAAAGCACCCCCACAGCATGATGCTGCCACCCCCGTGCTTCACCGTTGGGATGGTGTTCTTCGACTTGCAAGAGACCCCCTTTTTCCTCCAAACATAACGATGGTCATTATGGCCAAACAGTTCTATTTTTGTTTAATCAGACCAGAGGGCATTTCTCCAAAAAGTAAGATCTTTGTCCCCATGTGCAGTTGCAAACCGTAGTCTGGCTTTTTTATGGCGGTTTTGGAGCAGTGGCTTCTTCCTTGCTGAGCGGCCTTTCAGGTTATGTCGAGATGGTACTCGTTTTACTGTGGATATAGATACTTTTGTACCTGTTTCCTCAAGCATCTTCACAGGGTCCTTTGCTGTTGTTCTGGGATTGATTTGCACTTTTCTCACCAAAGTACGTTCATATCTAGGAGACAGAACGCATATCCTTCCTGAGCGGTATGACGGCTGCGTGGTCCCATGGTGTTTATACTTGCATACTATTGTTTGTACAGAACGTGGTACCTTCAGGCGTTTGGAAATTGCCCCCAAGGATGAACCAGACTTGTGGAGGTCTACAATTTTTTTGAGGTCTTGGCTGATTTCTTTTGATTTTCCCATGATGTCAAGCAAAGAGGCACTGAGTTTGAAGGTAGGCCTTGAAATACATCCACAGGTACACCTCCCAATTGACTCAAATTATGTCAGTTAGCCTATCAGAAGCTTCTAAAGCCATGACATTTTCTGGAATTTTCCAAGCTGTTTAAAGGCACAGTCAACTTAGTGTATGTAAACTTCTGACCCACTGGAATTGTGATACAGTGAAATAATCTGTCTAAACAATTGTTGGAAAAATTATTTGTGTCATGCACAAAGTAGATGTCCTAACCGACTTGCCAAAACGATAGTTTGTTAACAAGAAATGTGTGGAGTGGTTGAAAAACGAGTTCTAAAGTGTATGTAAACTTCCGACTTCAACTGTATGTGTGTGACCAAACGTTCTCATGAATTACAACAAATCCCGTCACAGGTCAAATTTAACAAATTACCACTTGTCAGCTGTTCTGAGAATCTCTACATCAAAGATGACACCAGACGTTGATACCCTTGCCAAGAGAGGTGACAAGACCCATTGTTCACATTAAGACTCAAATAACCGTGACTGGGGTAGGCAAGGATTATGCTTTTTCATGGTGGTTATGCAGTGAGAATTATCCAGCAATGCACTTGGATATAGGTAGTAACATTCCGTCAGATTTGGCTTAGGTGATTGGATAACTGTAAATATGGCTCACAATGGAGATGAGAATTGTTCCTTAATATGCTTTCAAAAACAGACCATTCCAAATGAAATGGATGCTCTTACCATATGTTGCACAAATTGTTTTTTTACACTTCTGCGGTTACATTTAGCATGTTTTTAAGTTTGTTACTAAGTTTGATTGTACTTTACAAGGGTAGAGATACAGGATCTGTGTGTTTGACTGTGTCTGTGATGTTATAAATTATATCAATTTAGCGAAATGTTTGTTCACAAACTAGGGTAGAATTGTTCTGCAGTACACTAGTAGTTGCGTGTCAATGTGAAAATGAATAAAGGCTTCACATGTTTTGTCACACATATAGTATGTGACCCTTCACTTGGTTGCAAAAACTCAATGTGGCCCTTGAGCCAAAAGGTTTGCCCACCCCTGTTCTAGACTAAAGGAAGGGGCTAGGAACTGAACTGAAATGTGCCTAAGACAGAACCCTGCTCCCCACTATCCCAAGGCACGGGCGTGGTGATCCTGTCCCCAACGCGCGAGTTGGCCATGCAGACGTACGGTGTGATGAAGGAGCTGATGACCCACCATGTACACACCTTCGGCCTGATCATGGGCGGCAGCAACCGCACGGCCGAGGCCCAGAGGCTGGCCAATGGCGTCAACATCCTGGTGGCCACCCCCGGCAGATTGTTAGACCACCTGCAGGTAACCATAAGAACAGTAACTGTATTAAAGCACTTTTCATACATGTATATCAAAGTTGGGACCAGGTAACCTCTGAGCACCACAATGTTGACTAAGGATCAGACTGTACACTGAACAAACAACTATTACAGTTCATATAAGGAAATCAGTCAATTTAAATAATTTAATTAGGCCCTAATCTATGGATTTCCCATTACTGGGAATACAGATATGCATCTGTTGGTCACCAATACCCCCCCAAAAAAGGTAAACCAGTCAGTATCTGGTGTGACCATTTGCCTCATGCAGCGCATAGTTGATTGTGGCCAATGGAATGTTGTCCCACTCCTTTTCAATGGCTGTGCGAAGTTGCTGGATATTGGCGGAAACTGGAACACGATGTCAAACACGTCGATCCAGAGCATCCCAAATATGCTCAATGGGTAACATGTCTGGTGAGTATGCAGGCCATGGAAGAACTGGGACATTTTCAGCTTCCAGGAATTATGTACAGATCCTTGAGACGTGGTGCCGTGCATAATCATGCTGAAACATGAGGTGATGGCGGCGGGTGAATGGCACGACAATGGGCCTCGGGATCTTGTCACGGTGTCTCTGCATTCAAATTGCCATCGAAAATTGCAATTGTGTTTGTTTTTCCGTAGCTTATGCCTGCCCATACCATAACCCCACCGCCACCATGGGGCACTCTATTCACAACATTGACATCAGCAAACCGCTCGCCCACACGACACCATATTCACGGTCTACAATCTTCCCGGTACAGTTTAAACCGGGATTAATCTGTGAAGTGCACACTTCTCCAGCGTGCCAGTAGCCATCGAAGGTGAACATTTGCCCACTGAAGTCGGTTACGATGACGAACTGCAGTCAGGTCAAGATCCTGGTGAGGATGATGAGCTTCCCTGAGACTGTTTCTGACAGTTTGTGCAGAAATTCTGGCTGGTCTCAGACAATCCCGCAGGTGAAGAAGATGGATGTGGAGGTCCTGGGCTGACTTGGTAAAGTGGCCTGCGGTTGTGAGGTCAGTTGGACGTACTGCCAAATTGTCTAAAACGACAGAGGCAGCTTATGGTAGAGAAATTAACATTCAATTCTCTGGCAACAGCTCTGGTGGACAATCCTGCAGTCAGCATGCCAATTGAACGCTCCCTCAACTTGAGACATCTGTGGCATTGTTGTGACAACTGCACATTTTAGTGGCCTTTTATTATCCCTAGCACAAGGTGCACCTCTGTAATGATCATGCTGTTTAATTCGCCTCTTTATATGCCACACCTGTCAGGTGGATTATCTTGGCAAAGGAGAAATGCTCACTAACGGATGTAAACACATTTGTGTGAAATACACTTTTTGAGCTTATGAAAAATGTATGTGATCTTTTATTTCAGTGCATTAAACATGGGACCATCACTTTACATGTTGCCTTTTATATTTCTGTTAAGTATATAATGTTTCAGTGTCCCCGACTTTTAAAAAAACAACTCGGTCGACCGAGAGTCATCTGTTCTTTCGACGAATCGATTGGTAGAAGTTTTAAAACGTGTATTTTTCCATATAAACACACCCTAAGTGTTTTTAATATAATGAACTATATGCACTGAGCTTGTCGGATTCTTTAAACACAGTTTGATGAAATAATTAATTAGAGCTTCAAACTAGTCAGCTTTTGCCGAAATTCGCCATTTTGAATCTAAAATAGGTAACCTACGTGATTTGTGTATACACTTTTGGATTACTACTGGCTGTATCCAAGGCTCAGCTAATCGTTCACATAACAATGCAGCGCTCTGGAAAGACCGCGGAGAGTGGAAAGGCAATTAGTCCGGTTACAGCAGCGCGTCCTCTGAATGACAACAGCGGTAGGTGAGAAGCCTGACGACGGAGACTGGGGTGATGAAGCATACTTCATGAGCTGTAACCGAAAAACAGCTGGCTTTTGGAAAGTTTAAGGTGAGGGAGCAAGTGTGGTGGAACAAGAATTGTTAGCATTAAGTATCTTGCTAGCTGGATCGAGTTCTTCGTTAGCTAGCCAGAGAAATGTTGAGCAACATTAGCTAACATAGCTGATCAAATAATTGTAGTTTATGGTGTGAAAATTAGCTGGCTAAAGTCAGACATCTAGCTAGCTAACGTTACAACATCAGATGAGCTAACGTTAGTAACGTAAACTCGAGGAACCAATTCGCTATGGTATTAACTGGTATAAGACTCCTTGCCGTTCCTCAAGCTATAACGTTAGTTGATCACTGGAACCTGGCCATCTGTGTGAAAGGTTAACTCGCTATCGAACTAACTACTATCTATGAATTAATGTTTTCCCTCTACAGTATGTGTTTCATTTTAAGAATGAGAGAATTAGGTGAAAATTAGGCGTTGCTTGTTAAACAAGTGGATTCAGGGATGAAGTGTAGCTGGAGCTGGGCCAGGTTTAAGCTGGATGCCTAGAGGTGAAAGTAACAGCACTCACTTTTTCAATACGGTGGATAAAAAGGGGTATGCCGGGTGTACTCTGCCTGGAACAGAACAGATGTACACAGGCAGAAAGTGTACAATGTAATAATGCGTAGTGTAGCCCAAAGAGATTGCTTTTGTTGTGTTGAACTTGACATACTGTAACAGTTGAGTGAGGGAGGTTATTTAATTTTTTACTCTGAACGTTATTTTTGCACACATGTAGCCATCTGCACTTGATCGACGTCTACTATTGTGACCACTATAGTCGTAGCTACTATAATAGAGCAAAAATAGAATGCCTGTTTCATTCTATTTATACTTTAAGATGTTTTTTTCCCAAGTGCGTTATTTACATATGTGTGTGGTCACAAGCTTTCTATTATAAAGGCTGTCATGGCTAACTGCAATATTAATGTATTGTTTATTCTGTGAACTTGAGTGTAATTTACAGTAAAGTCTAGGCAACAAATAACATTGGATTGCTTTCCTTAAATGTTTTTGCTTTGAGTTAGGTTCACATTAACTACAGACTGATCATGTAGATCATATTCTTTGTTTAATTAGTACACAGTTAAACTGCATTTCAAGAAGGGATCTAGTCACTAGAAATTAGCATTTTAAAGCTGATGCATGTTTCAGTGGAGAAAAAAAAGTATTATTTTTATATCCCTGATTTTAAGACTCATTACTCAAACGGGAGCCAGAGATCAAGCTAACCAGAAGAGGTATATAAAAAAATATATATATAAAAAATAATAATAAAAAAAACGGGTCCTTACCCACCCCTCCCACTGCTGCTGGCCTTCACAGATTCTGCCGTTACATTTGACATTTTAGTCATTTTAGCAGACGCTCTTATCCAGAGTGACTTACAGTTAGTGAGTGCATACATTTTCATACTGGCCCCCCGTGGGAAACGAACCCACAACCCTGGCGTTGCAAGCGCCATGCTCTACCAACTGAGCTACAGGTAGAGCTTCTGAAGTTGCCGGTAATAGGGGTCGGCAACCTTTTTCATGTAGAGTGCCAATTCACAATTTCTTACAATTTCAACCATTTACGATTTTCATATGCACATTTTCGTGGAACAGTTTCAATTATAATAGTTTTCGTATCTCAATCATTTGTGGTTAATCTAAATGAAAATGATACAAATCTCAAAGTTAAAATTAATCTAATGTAAGAGCGCATGCCTCTGCCAAAAGGGATGTAGCTCAGTTGGTAGAGCATGGCGTTTGCAACGCCAGGGTTGTGGGTTCGATTCCCACGGGGGGGCGGTATAAAAAATAATGTATGCACTAACTGTAAGTCGCTCTGGATAAGAGCGTCTGCTAAATGACTAAAATGTAAATGTAAATGTTGTATTACACACCGTGTGCCATTGGCAGCTAAATAATTTAGCGCAGATCGCAGAGAGGCCTATATACCGATGCAATTCTATTGCCAACTAGGTAAAAATAGCCTGCATTAAACCAACAAATAAAAGCATTGCAGGTAGAAAATATCGGAATAAATATCCTATAAATCACATTGGCTATGCATGGCAGTTCATGTTCTTTCAATCTCATTAATCTCTCTGCTCTGCCTGTCTGCAACTAACATTTTTATCAACTATCAACTGGGTCCAGCCCGAAGCTAGCAAACTTGCAGCGTTATATCAACTATTCCCTCAGTTTCCTGCGCCAATGAGCTCAGAACAGAACATCTGTATTTGTGCAAAGGATAAGAAGTAATAAGGCATTTTATGACATCTGCTGGATCAAAGCATGAAATGTTTTCATTTCACGCTGAGACTCAGTGGTTATTAAAAAGGGGAGAGCTGGAAAGAGATTTCAAATACATTGAGGACTATTGTCATTAGGGCTGATCGCATTTAGTCGATTGTTTGGTCGATAGGCTGTTGGTCGACCGAGACGCCTTACTGATTCACGTCTATCTGAGTGGAGTAAGGCCGCGGGAATGGCACACCAGTAGTACATTTACCCGTTAATTCCCATCTCTAATCTACAATGTTTGGTTTCTATCATTTCTGTTAATGCATAAAATGTATTCTTATTAAAATCTAACAGTTATTGTAGGAGTGGACACGTTGTTTGCAGAGTGCACAACCTAGGCTACACTTGTGAGAAATACATTTTGGTTTATTTCATTCCATTTACGAGTTGTCAATTTATTCATTATTTTTGTTTTGGAGCACTCCTGTCAATCTTGAGTAAGGACACGCACCTGATTACGCATATAGAAGTAGGACTAGTCTACCTGGCCTGCGTGCAAATGTAGGCCTGTAAATATGCCCATTTGGGGATCTGATACTATTTGTGATCGTCTTAACTCACCATCACTGTGGAGCTTCTCAAATAACTGTATTCTTCGCCTCAAACAGCAAGTCAACGAAGTCTGTTTTTACATCCATTTGAGAATGACAATAGTTCATAAACGTAGCTTATTTGAGAAATCTTTCCTGCTCCCCTTTCTATTACCACTCAGTATGAAAGGGGAGGAAAATGACATGCTCTGATGCGGTAAATACGTCGTCATAGGCCTACCTGATGACTTCTGATCCGTTGCGCAAATAGCCTACAACAAGCAGTGTCTATGTCCGGAGCTCACTGGCACGGAAACTCTGAGGGCCTAGAATATTTTATACAATGTTGCAAGTTTGCTAGCATGAGCTTTGCGCATGACAACGTTAATACAATAGGTGGTACAATGTTTCCAGTTCCATGCAGACTGGCTATGCATGGCCTATGTGATTTTATAGGATATTTATTTTTTTCAGGATATTTTCTACCTACGGGCTGCAATGTTTTTATTTGTTGGCTTTATGTAGGCTATTTTTACATATTGGCAATAGAAGGCACTTTTAAGATAGAATTTTGATGAACCACGTGACATTGATTTTGAGATGAAGGCTTTATTAAAAATGTAATTAAACTGTTCCATGAAAATCATAACTGGCACGCAGATTAGTTACAAAGAAAAAGTCCAGTGTGTGTTCTTTTGCCCATCTTAATATTTTATTTTTATTGGCCAGATGTGGCATTTTCTTTGCAACTCTGCCTAGAAGGTCAGCATCCCAGAGTCACCTCTTCACTGTTGAAGTTGAGACTGGTGTTTTGCGGGTACTATTTAATGAAGCTGCCAGTTGAGGACCTGTGAGGCATCTGTTTCTCAAACAAGACACTAATGTATTTGTCCTCTTGCTCAGTTGTGCACTGGGGCCTCCCACTCTTTCTATTCTGGTTAGAGCCAGTTTGCGCTGTTCTCTGAAGGGAGTAGTACACAGCGTTGTATGAGATCTTCAGTTTCTTGGCAATTTCTTGCATGGAATAGCCTTCATTTCTCAACAAGAATAGACTGACAAGTTTCAGAAGAAATATATTTGTTTCTGGCCATTTTGAGCCTGTAATTGAACACACAATTGCTGATGCCCAAGATACTCAACTAGTCTCAAGAAGGCCAGTTTTATTGCTTCTTTAATCAGCACAACAGTTTTCAGCTGTGCTAACATAATTGCAAAAGGGTTTTCTAATGATCAATTAGCCTTTTAAAATGATAAACTTGGATTAGCAAACACAACATGCCATTGGAACACAGGACTGATGCTTGCTGATAATGGGCCTCTGTACGCCTATGTAGATATTCCATTTAAGAATCAGCCGTTTCCAGCTACAATAGCCATTTACAACATTAAGAATGTCTACACTCTATTTTTGATCAATTTGGTGTTATTTTAATGGACAAAAAAATTGCTTTTCTTTCGGAAACAAGGAAATTTGTGACCCCCAACTTTTCAACGGTAGTGTATATTTGCGCGCAGGCCAGGTCACCTATGCGTAATCAGTTGTGCATCCTTACTCAACATTGACAGGAGCGCTCCAAACAAAATATTTATTAATACATTGACAAAACTCGGAAATGGCAAGAAATAAACCTAAACTTGTTTCTCACAAGTATAGCATGGGTTTTGAGCTCTGCAAATAACGTGTCCACTCCGACAATGAGAATGGTAAACGACTGTAATAATAATATTTTGAATGCAATAACAGAAATGACCATAGCCAAACTAACATTGTAGATTAGAAATGATGGGGATTAACTGTAAATATACTAGTGATATATGTAATGGGCCATTGATAGACACTAACAATCAAACAAGTCATACAATGAAGTTATGAAACAATGAATGCACACAAATTGGCGGGAGAGCACATTCTGGGGAGAGACGCGCCTTGTGCATCTTAGCCACACTCCCCTTCTTGACTCAACATTTTTTAAATATACACAAGACACATCTTCACAAATACTGTAGGCCTAAGGAATACTCTCAAACGGTGTCAGGTCCAAAGCAGTAGCCATTTATGGAAACTAATGCAATTTCACTTATTTTTTCAATTTTCTCAAATTGCTTGGCGTGCCAAAGCAAATACCCTTGCAATGCCTGTCCTAGAGTGCTGGACTGTGCCATCCCCGCAGCCTCTGCAATGGATTAGTCCACTGAGACAGGTGTGAATCAGACAAGTGTCTGCCATAAAATAAATCAAATCAATTTGCGACCTCTCAACAACAAAAAATCTGTCGACCGACAGCCTATCGACCAAACAATGGACCAGTCGACTAAATGGGGTCGGCCCTAGATTTTTGCACACATTCAGTCCCGGGCACTTTTAATTTGTTTCTCCCCACCCCCTTGCTCTCTGTAGAATACTGCTGGCTTCATGTATAAGAACCTCCAGTGTCTGATCATTGACGAAGCTGACCGTATCCTGGAGGTCGGCTTCGAGGAGGAGCTGAAGCAGATCATCAAACTCCTGCCAAGTATGTACCCACATCATGGCCATAACCATCCTTGCATATACTGTACCATGGCGTTTGATGCTATTTGTCTGTTTGTATGTGTAACTCCCAGTGTTTTAACATGTATAACGTGCATTCTTCCTCAGAGCGGAGGCAGACCATGCTGTTCTCGGCCACCCAGACCCGTAAGGTGGAGGACCTGGCCCGTATCTCCCTGAAAAAGGAGCCCCTCTACGTGGGTGTGGACGACAACAAGGACAACGCAACCGTGGATGGCCTGGAGCAGGTAAACAAAACGACTCACTGCTGCAGAGTGACGATACTCATGCATGACATGCCAGGGGGTCAGCTTGTTGTTGCTAGTTAAGCGGATTGTCGTCACTTGTCCCAAGACTCGAGGTATCTGAAAGTAGCAAAGCTTTGTTTTTGGTTAGAGAGTATTGGGTCGTTTGAGACCCTGCCCTGTCTCCTCCACGGCAAGGTTATAGGTAAACCTCACATCAGTTAGAATGTGTACTTCAGGCAGGAATGTGGTTTTCTGGTTTTCTCTGGTGCTTCAGGGATGCGTGGTCTGATATGTAAACGTTGTCTTGGTTTTCAGGGATATGTGGTGTGTCCCTCAGAGAAGCGCTTCATGCTGCTCTTCACCTTCCTGAAGAAGAACCGCAAGAAGAAGCTTATGGTGTTCTTCTCATCCTGCATGTCGGTCAAGTTCCACTACGAGCTGCTCAACTACATTGACCTTCCCGTCATGGCCATCCACGTGAGTTGTCACCTCTCTGTCCAGAGGGGTATACTACAAAGCAGGATCAATGAGTTAGCCAGCTAACTTTGATAAACAACCAGAAATTACTACAGATTTTAGGGTTCGTTAAGCTAAAATATTATGCGTGTTGGGTTCTTGAGTCAATTAGACCATGCTCATTTCAAGCTTATCTTTATTTTTAAAAAAAGTAAATTTATTTTATAACATTTAGGCAAGTTAGCTGGCTAACTCCTTGATCCTGCTTTGTAGTATACCCCTCAGGGTTGTAAACATTAGGGCACACCATAGCTAAGTGTTTTGCAAGGAAAACAAAAATGTGTTTCCTATGGGACAGGTTCAGATAGTACCTTCCCGTTTCTGACAGTTTATCTGTTTAATGCCTGCAGAACACGACCCAACTCACTTAATTCGCTTGTCTCAGGAAGTTATTCGGAGCCCTTTTGAGTCAAAAAGACACTCAAGCCATATACACCACAGGCGATAATTATGCCCAAACTAAGTGTCCCGAGTAACAGCAAGGTAGTTCCAAGACTAGCAACATATTGCAGCCTATACTCTGTGTCAGAAGTCTTCAGGCTATTATCTGACTCAATTTGAGCTTTGCTACAGTGAACCCCAGTCTGAATCCACAAGGCATTCTCTCTCTTATTTGTCTGCTGCAGAGACAACTGGTACATCCACACTTGGGTCTAAAGGCCGTGTACCATTCATTATAACACAACATATATGAACAAATATTGCGCTGTGGGATTAAACATTAACATGTACTGTTTCGTTCAGCAATAGGCTCCATGCTTCCCATCCGAAACAGTTCGCAACAGTTCGTGCTTATATTCATGCATATACAACATTTTGTGACGTTTTTGTTTGGCTGTTCGTGCACATTAAAAAAAGAAATCTAGGCAAGCAGAAGTCTACGCCCTTCGTTGATCATTGGTCAACAGTAAGGATTCTTCAGTGAAGTGTTGTCATTCAACGATAGACGACTCGTTTTCATGCACATTTTGTCACATGAGAAATACTGCACCAACCATCTTAGTTGGGTATAAAATTGCGCAACTAAGATCTCCTCTGCAAAAATGACAGATTTGAGTTATCTTAGATTAATTCAAACTATTTTGGCTACGGCGTCTCAAGATGAACAAATATTACTATTGCCGCTTTTTCTCATTTTTCAAGGGAAGGTCTTTTTTTAAGGGAGTAAGCGAGCATACGCATTCAGTTCGTCTAGCCAACCGAACCGAAGCATGCGGAAGCCTTTAGCCAGGCGTCTTATCCTCTGTGGTCAATGCAGCCTGTGGCTGACGTCTAATCATCTCCTTTTGCTTTGATCTCTCAGGGGAAGCAGAAGCAGACCAAGCGTACCACCACCTTCTTCCAGTTCTGTAACGCTGACTCGGGCATCCTGCTGTGTACAGACGTGGCGGCCAGAGGCCTGGACATCCCTGAGGTGGACTGGATCGTCCAATATGACCCCCCAGATGACCCCAAGGTACCTAGTGAAGTTTGAGACACTCTTTCATGCATCTTCGACACTAGCCAGAAATAACCCCTAGCCTATAGGTATCTCTAGCCAATGCCTCAGTGAAGCATTCACATTTGTTTCCCTCTTCCTTATTTCTTCCCTCTTTCTTTTCCTAGGAATACATCCACAGGGTCGGCAGAACGGCTCGCGGGATCAACGGCATAGGCCATGCCCTCCTAATCCTCAGGCCAGAGGAGCTGGGCTTCCTGCGCTTCCTCAAACAAGCCAAGGTAAGACCCTAACCCAACCATCTCTATCCCAACCATCTCTGACCTTACCTCAACCCAGCTCTCAACAGCAAAACAAGGAAAACATGCAAAAGATTAACCGTTTTTCAGCAGTGATATGTTTTAAAATGACATTTTTTATTCTGTTTTTATCTTGCATCAGGTTCCTTTGAGTGAGTTTGAATTCTCTTGGGCAAAGATCTCCGATATCCAGGGTCAGGTAAGATATTCATCCACATTTATTACTGCATGTGCATCAGCGCTAACTGACATTACATCTGTCACATAGTGGACTGCAACGGCTAATTAGTTGAAATGGTCAAATGATAAGCGACCTCTTACATACACTCTCCTACGTATTTATTTGGACAATGAAACGAAAACGTTTAATTTGGCTCTATACTCATGCGTTTTGGATTGGAGATAAAATGTTTTGAGGTGACAGTACATAATGTCAACTTTTCTTTGAGGGTATTTTCATATACAGTGCCTTCAGAAATTATTCATACCCGTTGACTTATTCCACGTTTAGTTGTGTTGCAGCCTGAATTCAAAATTGATTAAATATATTTTTTGGGTCACCCAGCTACCCCCCCCCCCCCCTGTTGTTGGTAAAGGTGAGAGCTTAGCATGTTTTGGGGGTATGCTCTTTGGGCCTCTAACTTTTTCACGATTCATTATTCACGATTCATTCATGACTATCCGTAAGCATGGTAGCATCCACATTAATGTAGAAGTATTCAGAAACATTCTATTCTTTACAATAAGTGACTCCAAAATGATACAATACATTATTTACCATTCATTTCTATTGGCACAACATCTGAAGCACTTCCAAAACAAACTGTAAATGCATCTAACAAATGTGTACGCTTGATGTAGTCATTGGGTGCTAGGAATATGGGACCAAATACTAAACTTTTGACCACTTCAGTACACTAAGTTAATTTTTCCAAATACTTCAAATGAGTTGACTAGATGCATAAAGTGCTTTCATTTCTAAAATGTTAAAGATATACAGTGCCTTCAGAAATTATTCACACCCTTTACCTTTTCCACATTTTGTAACAGCCTGAATTTAAAATTCTTTAAATTTAGATTTTATCACTGATCTACACACACTATTCCCTCATAATGTCAGTGAAAATTAGTTTTGTAGAACATTTCTGAAATTAATAAAAAATGGAATGCTGAAATGTCTTGTGTCAATAAGTATTCAACCCCTTTGTTATGGCAAGGAAAATAAGTCCAGGAGTAAAAATGTGCTTAACAAATCTCATAAGTTGCATGGACTTATTCCGTGTTCAATTATAGTGGTTAACATGATTTTTGAAGGACTACCCCATCTCTGCACCCCACACACATAATTATCTGTAAGGTCCCTGAATTGAGTATTGATTGTCAAGCACAGATTCAACCACAAAAACCAGGGACGTTTTTCAATGCCAAGGGCACTGATTTGGTAGTGTAAAAAAATAATATCCCTTTGAGCATGGTGAAGTTATTCATTACACTTTGGATGGTGTATCAATACAGCCAGTCACTACAAAGATACAGGCATCCTTAACTGTTGCCAGAGAGGGGAAAAACTGCTCAGGAATTTCACCATTAGGCCAATGGTGATTTTAAAACAGAGTTTAGTGGTTGTGATATGAGAACTGAGGATGCATCAATATTGTAGTTACTCCACAATACTAACCTAAATGACAGAGTGAAAAGGAAGCCTGTACAGAGTACAAATATTCCAAAACATGCATCCTGTTTGCAACAAGACACTTAAATAATACTGCAAAAATAAACTCTGCAAAAAAAATGTCCCTTTTTCAGGACCCTGTCTTTCAAAGATAATTCGTAAAAATCCAAATAACTTCACAGATCTTAATTGTAAAGGGTTTAAACACTGTTTCCCATGCTTGTTCATTGAACCATAAACAATTAATGAACATGCACCTGTGGAACGGTCGTTAAGACACTAACAGCTTACAGACGGTAGGCAATTAAGGTCACAGTTATGAAAACTTAGGACACTAAAGAGTCCTTTCTACTGACTGAAAAACACCAAAAGAAAGATGTCTAGGGTCCCTGCTCATCTGCGTGAACGTGCCTTAGGCATGCTGCAAGGAGACATGAGGACTACAGATGTGGCCAGGGCTATAAATTGCGATGTCCATACTGTGAGACGCCTAAGACGGCGCTACAGGGAGACAGGACGGACAGCTGATCATCCTCACAGTGGCAGACCACGTGTAACAACACCTGCACAGGATCGGTACATCCGAACATCACACCTGCGGGACAGGTACAGGATGGCAACAACAAGTGCCCGAGTTACACCAGGAACGCACAATCCCTCCATCAGTGCTCAGACTGTCCGCAATAGGCTGAGAGAGGCTGGACTGAGGGCTTGTAGGCCTGTTGTAAGGCAGGTCCTCACCAGACATCACCGGCAACAACGTCGCCTATGGGCACAAAACCACCGTCGCTGGACCAGACAGGACTGGCAAAAAGTGCTCTTCACTGACGAGTCGCAGTTTTGTCTCACCAGGGGTGATGGTCGGATTCGCATTTATCGTCGAAGGAATGATCGTTACTCCGAGGCCTGTACTCTGGAGCGGGATCAATTTGGAGGTGGAGGGTCCGTCATGGTCTGGGGGCGGTGTGTCACAGCATAATCGGACTGAGCTTGTTGTCATTGCAGGCAATCCCAACGCTGTGCGTTACAGGGAAGACATCCTCCCTCATGTGTTACCCTTCTTGAAGGCTCATTCTGACATGACCCTCCAGCATGACAATGCCACCAGCCATACTGCTCGTTCTGTGCGTGATTTCCTGCAAGACAGGAATGTCAGTGTTCTGCCATGGCCAGCGAAGAGCCCGGATCTCAATCCCATTGAGCACGTCTGGGACCTGTTGGATCGGAGGGTGAGGGCTAGGGCCATTCCCCCCACAAATGTCCGGGAACTTGCAGGTGCCTTGGTGGAAGAGTGGGGTAACATCTCACAGCAAGAACTGGCAAATCTGGTGCAGTCCATGAGGAGGAGATGCACTGCAGTACTTAATGCAGCTGGTGGCCACACCAGATACTGACTGTTACTTTTGATTTTGACCCCCACCCCTTTGTTCAGGGACACATTATTCAATTTATGTTAGTCACATGTCTGTGGAACTTGTTCAGTTTGTCTCCAGTTGTTGAATCTTGTTATGTTCATACAAATATTTACTCATGTTAAGTTTGCTGAAAATAAACACAGTTGACAGTGAGAGGACGTTTCTTTTTTTGCTGAGTTTGTGGCAAAGAAATTAACTTTTTGTCCTGAATACAAAGTGTTATGTTTGGGGCAAATGCAACACATCACTGAGTACCACTTCATATTTTCAAGCATGGTGGTGGCTGCAACATGTTATGGGTATGCTCGTCATCGGCAAGGACTAGGGAGTTTGTTAGGATAAAAAGAAACCGAATACAGCTATAAGTACAGACAAAATCCTAGAGGAAAACCTGTTTGTCTGCTTTCCAACAGCCACTGGGAGACAAATCCACATTTCAGCACGACAATAACCTAAAACACAAGGCCAAATCTACACTGGAGTTGCTTACAAAGACTACATTGAATCTTCCTGAGTGGCCTAGGTACAGTTTTGACTTTAATCGGCTTAAAAAGCTATGGCAAGACTTGAAAATGGCAGTCTAGCAATGATCAACTTCACAGAGCTTGAATAATTCTTTTAAGAATAATGGGCAGTGTTTTACAATCCAGGTGTGCAAAGCTCTTAGACTTACCCCAAAAGACTCACAGCTGTATTCACCACCAAAGGTGCTTCTACAAAGTATTGACTCAGGAGTGTGAATACTCATGTAAATGTTATATTTCTGTTTTTAATTTTCAATACATTTGCAAACATTTCTAAACATGTTTTCACTTTGTCATTATGGGGTATTGTGTGTAGATGGGGGGGACAATTCTTTCTATATTTAATCCATTTTTAATTCAGGCTGTAACAACAAAATGTTGAATAAGTCAAGGGGAATGAATACTTTCTGAAGGCACTGTATTTGAAAATACCCTCCAATAAAAGTTGACATTCTGTACTGTCGCCTCATATAAAACATTTAATCTCTAATCCAAAATACTGTGGTATAGAACCAAATAAAGCCTCACTGTCCCAAAAAAATATGTAGCGGAGTGTATGTGCAATTATCTGACAAGCCTTAATCTCAATGACATATCCACAGAAAAATGTGTAGTTTTCACGATTTGTTCTTTGCAGCTGAATAAGCTGATTGAGAAGAACTACTACCTGCACAAGTCAGCTCAGGAGGCCTACAAGTCCTACGTGCGGGCGTACGACTCGCATTCCCTCAAAGCGATCTACAGTGTCAACACGCTCAACCTCCCCATGGTGGCACAGTCTTTCGGCTTTAAAGTGCCTCCCTACGTCGACCTCAGTATCCTTTTCTACGTCCATGTTGCCTGAGCATATTTTCATCAATGTTGTTTCTGAAGGGTTGCATTGTCTTACTTTGTTTGTCAATGTCTGTTCTCATGACTTTCGCAAACATCCCTTATTCCATCCCTCTGTCACCCCCCTACAGGTGGTAACGATAAATGCCTATTCCCAATTGGTCAATTCAGTGCAGTACAGTGTTTCCCTTAACCCAGCACTCCTCTCCAGACGTTCACAGCAAAGGAGGACTGAAGATGACGAAGAGGGGCGGAGGAGGCGGCTTCGGCTACCAGAAGGGCAAGCCCGCTCACAAAGCCAAAATCTTCAAGCACGTCAACAAAGGCAAGGGGGACAAGAGGCAATTCTCCCGCTAACCTGCGGTCCTTTGGGGGCAATTTCAAAATGGCTTCATGACCTGGACACACTCCCCTCTCGCTCTCTATCTAGAGACCAATCTATTACCCTGTACTGGGCATTGTGTCTTGCTCCCTATTTGTGTGTGTTAGACCAGTCTCTTGCCACCTGTAAGAGGCCCAGTTTTCGCTCCAATGCCTCCACCTGTGTCTTTCTGAACAGGTATTTTGTGTCTTTAGTGACAGGACTCTGTGGGCTAATAACTGTTGAAGACATCCCCTGCATTCCTTTCCTTACAGCAGATTTGGATTTTACCATGGACTGTCTTTGATTTAATTATGCAGAACTGTATATTGATAAATGTATTTGCATTATTTTCATCCTTCTACTTTACTGGCCAATTTAAATAATGTATATACACCCACACCGTTTGTTGGCACACACAGAATTTCAGAGCGTTGCAACTATTGAATTCCCATTTATTGTATACTTTTTATATAAAAAAAAACAAGCCCTTCCAGTTGTTGATACATTTTGTACCTAAGAGTTAGTGCACTTGCGACCTTAATAATTATAGGTAGGGTATTGCAACCAATTTCCAGAACAAAAGTAATTGCACGCTGTTTTTGTAATTTGAGGAACAGATCACCATTGAAGAGATCCTCTGAGCAAATGGTTGTAGTGACAAGTTCCACATGGGGGCGGTGTATTCAAGCACAGGTTTAATGTAGGTGGTGTAGTGAAGTTATGTGTCTGAACCAGTCTGAAGACAGTAGTCCAGTTGTGCACAATGTTGGTAACACTTTACTTAACACCCAGTGTCATAACATGGTTGGTTATTTACATTTTAGTCATTTAGCAGACGCACTTACTTTTAGTGCATACATTTTCATACTGGTCCCCCGTGGGAATCGAACCCACAACCCTGGCGTTGCAAACGCCATGCTCTACCAACTGAGCTACACAGGACTAGGTTATGACAACTACATAAATGTCAATCCACACAACCAACGACACCATAGCCTAGGTTTTGTTATTGACCATGTTAAATGATCATTGTAATTGCGCACACATTGATGTCAGACATGCACCTATTCCAATGCTCTGTTTCTGATAACTGGGATGAATGCAGGAGCCGGGCAAGACACCCTCTTTTTGACTGATATAAGGGCATGTATGTGATCAACCTATCTGGCTTATATGATTTATGATGGTCATGTTGTTTGACAGTTTCATGAAGTGTAATTTCTACAAGTTATTTAAAATATGATGGAAAATAACAAGACTGTAAATAATTAATTTAAGAAACAAACTTTCAAATAAAAGCAAACTTCTTGGCAGGGAAAAAAACTAATTTTACTAAATGTGGGTTTTGACACATGTAGGGGTCATAAGCAGCCATAAAATCACACGTCACAACAGGTGTAAATATGGGTCATGACCGTGTTATGACATGGTTATGACCGCTTCATAACATGTTATGACACAGAGTGTCAAAGTGTTACCATAATATTACCATGGTCAGGATATAGGTAAATAATTATAGTATATGCTAGCATAATAGCAAGCAGAGCCGTGATCTCAAACAACTTTTTATGGAGGTGCTAGTTCCACATGTCATATCCACCAACAAGTTATATAACACTATTCATGGTAATGTCTGAAAAAACATTCAATGGAGATTTTCCATTGAGCAAACACAGCTTAGTCTGTGTCCGGGAAACAGTCTGAGTAATACAATATGTTATGAGGATTTTATGCCCTCGCCCCTAACTGGTTGTTCCGGTTTCTTGGCACAAGATTCATTACATTTCTCTGAACTTTCCCCTGGAGGTTACACTCCCATCTAACTCTACAGTATACTCTTGTCACGTGGCGGCTCATCTTCATCAATGCCATGAACTTGTCATAACCCGTCAAATCATTCATGTTTGATTGAACATCAGTAATTGTTACATCTGTTACAGTGAGCCTGTGGCAGGCACGTGCACAGATAGGAGTAAACCTGTGGCCAGCACATGCCCCTTTGCCCTCCCACTTGTCAAGTGCCCTTTTGGGTGGTGTGTACACACAAACGTATGTGGACATCCCTTCAAATTAGTGGATTCGGCTATTTCAGCCACACCAGTTGCTGACAGGTGTATAAAATCGAGCCATGCAATCTCCAGAGACAAACATTGACAGTAGAATGGCCTTACTGAAGAGCTCAGTGACTTTCAACGTGGCACCGTCATAGTATGCCACCTTTCCAACAAGTCAGTTCGTCAAATTTCTGCCCTGCTAGAGCTGCCCCGGTCAACCGTAAGTGCTGTTATTGTGAAGTGGAAACTTCTAGGAGCAACAACGGCTCAGCCGTGAAGTGGTAGCCCACACAAGCTCACAGAACGGGACCGCCGAGTGCTGAAGCGCGTAGCGCGTAAAAATCGTCTGTCCTCTGTCCTCGGTTGCAACACTCACTACCAAGTTCCAAACTGCCTCTGGAAGCAACATCAGCACAATAACTGTTCGTTGGGAGCTTCATGAAATGGGTTTCCATGGCCGAGCAGCCGCACACAAGCCTAAGATCACCATGCGCAATGCCAAGCATCGTCTGGAGTGGTGTAAAGCTGGACTCTGGAGCAGTGGAAACACGCTTCACCATCTAGCAGTCCGACGGACGAATCTGGGTTTGGCGGATGCCAGGAGAACGTTACCTGCCCAAATGCATAGAGCCAACTGTAAAGTTTGGTGGAGGAGGAATAATGGTCTGGGCTATTTTTCATGGTTCGGGCTAGGCCCCTTAGTTCCAGTGAAGGGAAATCTTAATGCCACAGCATACAATGACATTCTAGACGATTCTGTGCTTCCAACTTTGTGGCACAAGTTGGGGGAAGACCCTTTCCTGTTTAACCATGACAATGCCCCGTGCACAAATCGAGGTCCATACAGAAATGGTTTGTCAAGATCGGTGTGGAAGAACTTAACTGGCCTGCACAGAGCTCTGACCTCAACCCCATCAAACACCTTTGGGATGAATTGGAACGCAGACTGCGAGCCAGGCCTAATCTCACTAATGCTCTTGTGGCTGAATGGAAGCAAGTTCCCCGCAGCAATGTTCCAACATCTAGTGGGAAGCCTTCCCAGAAGAGTGGAGGCTGTTATAGCAGCAAAGGGGTGACCAACTCCATATTAATGCCCATGATTTTGGAATGATACATTCAACGAGCAGGTGTCCACATACAGAACAAAAACATAAACTCAACATGCAACAAGTTCATTGATTTTATGGAGTTACAGTTCATATAAGGAAATCAGTCAATTGAAATAAATTCATTAGGCCCTAATCTATGGATTTCACATGACTGGGAATACAGAAATGCATCTGTTGGTCACAGGGAAAAAAGGAAGAAACAAGTAGGTGCGTGGATCAGAAAAACCAGTCAGTTTCTGGTGTGACAACCATTTGCCTCATGCAGTTTGACACGTCTCCCTTGCATAGTTAACTGTGGAATGTTGTCCCACTCCTCTTCAATGGCTGTATGAAGTTGCTGGATATTGGCGGGAACTGGAACACACTGTCGTACATGTCAATCCAGAGCATCCCAAGCATGCTCAATAGGTGACATGTCTGGTGAGAATGCAGACCATGGAAGAACTGGGACATTTTCAGCTTCCAGGAATTGTGTACAGATCCTTGACATGGGGCCGTGCATTAACATGAGGTGATGGTGGCAGATGAATGGCACGACAATGGGCCTCAGGATCTCGTCACGGATTAAAATCCAAGTGTGTTCGTTGTCCGTAGCTTATGCCTGCCCATACCATAACCCCACCACCACCATGGGGCACTCTGTTCACAACGTTGACATCAGCAAACCGCTCGCCCACACAACGCCATACACGTGGTCTGCGACTGTGAGGCCGATTGGACATACTACCAAATTCTCTAAAATGACGGAGTCAGCTTATGGTAGATAAATGAACATTAAAGTATCTGGCTACAGCTCTGTTGGACATTCCTGCAGTCAGCATGCCAATTGCATGCTCCTTCAAAACTTGAGACATCTGGTAGTGTGACATAACTGCACATTTTAGAGTGGCCTTGTATTGTTCCCTGCACAAGGTGCACCTGTGTAATGATCATGCTGTTTAATCAGCTTCTTGATATGCCACACATGTCAGCTGGATGGATTATCTTGGCAAAGGAGAAATGCTCACTAACAGGGATGTAAAGAAATTTGTGCACACAATTCGAGAGAAATAACTTTTTGGTGCGTATGGAAAACTTCTGGGATATTTTATTTCAGCTCATGAAACATGGGACCAACACTTTACATGTTGCGTATATATTTTTGTTCAATGTATATAATATTTTTGTCTGTTGAATCCATTTCCTGCAAGTCGTCTTGATGTCAAGTTTGCCACCCCCCACCCCATTCGTTGGTTGGATCTGTTGGGCTGCCCTGTACGGAGGTTGTGCGTGCCCAGTTGCGCCTGTTTCCCAGCATGCCCTGTACTGAAATTGCGCATGCACGTTATCCAAACGTGGCTTGAGATGCAGTCACCGGTCAAGCGCGTGTGTGGCTAGCTACCTAGTTTCAATATCAACAGTACTGTCACAGCAACATAACATTTGATTAACCACTTTAATTTCAAACAATCACAGAAAGGTACTTAATTGTTACCCAGAAAGTATTTGATATTGAGATCAAAACGGCTTTAAGAGCATTGAAGATAAATCACAATCAGTTAGAAAAATCATCAACATCAATGATCAGCTGATAGCCCATCCTCTTTTCCCAATGTCAATCATGTCTTTAGGAGGCACTGTAACTAGCTTGCTTACAATTTGTGATGAGTGAGTGTGTTGTTGCAGAAATAAATAGGCCTGTGCTCTAAAATGTTCGCTACAGAGGCAATTCGTATGTAATGAATTTCGAGATATGAATGATAAAAGTCCTTTTTTTTTTCAAGCGGGGCTGGGTTGCCCTTGTTTCAGTTGGAGCACCTGCCCGCTGAATGGTCTGTGCACGGCCCTGGCCTGTGGCATACATGTTTAACATTATACCTACAACCTAATGACTTGCAAGTCAGATTGAGTTTCTATTGACTGAGCAGTTGCTGGAAGAGAACAGATTTTAAATAACACTATGTTGCTGTGAGTGGAAAAGCTTAAATAACATGT